TGATCTAGTGTGTAAACAGGTATGAATAAATCTGGCGAGCGAGTCTGTGCAGCGCAGACATTTTCTCAGGAACGTCTTGGGGAATCTTGTGAAACAGGGAATACTCACTGAAGGAGCTGGATATGTTTTGCTGGTAGTTGGCAGCTTTCACAAAATGTTTGAGGTGTGTGGGTGATGGAGATAACTGCACAGCTGCCAATCAGGTTCTGGTGTTCAACTTTTGCAAAAGATGGGGCAGAGCAACCACATTCAAATGAGCTCTACATTCACCTTAATCAATGTGTTAAAAGGAGCAATAGAAAGGAATAGGGCACTATTGTTCTAAATGGAGAGATTACAGGAGGTCGATCAAAATCTAAAGGCCTATTGAATGTCCAGGTACTGTGTTGAACCATAGGATGTAGGGAAAGCAGGAGGTACTACACAATATCAGTCAGGATCCAACACCAATAGATATTTATCCATTCTTTTTGCTCCCCAACTCTTTCAATATATCAATACTGATGACATAGTGACAGTTTGCTCTTGAAAAAGTCTTATTTTTAAGTACACAGTCAGAACAGAGCACTTCTGTTAACAGAATGTCACCATCCTTCAACAGTGTTTACAGTTAGTTTGCAAAACCCTGTTGAAGCTGTTTTCCCTAGCTGTGACAGTGAGTGTATCACGCTTCATTGATGGCTTAAAACCTCAAATCTATTGTTGAAAGATTGTTTTATTAATGTTGCACATAATGTCTAACATTCAAAATATATACGGAGACCTGATTGACACAAGTTTGAAATCCTACTGGACAACATGGCTCTAGAGTTGACTATGTCAGTACTTTCCAGGGTGGTCTCCAGTCAGATGATCTTCATAACATTGAATGATTCCAGAACTCTAATGCCAGATCCTTTTACTGGTACTGATTCCATTCCGCAGTGAACTGGGCACTAGCTGACATACATTGGCTAACAGCGGGTAGGATTAGCCCAGTTGGCTGGATAGCTGGTTTACAATGCAGGGTGATGCCAAAAGGTTGGGTTCAGTTCCTGCACTGGCTGAGGTCACCATGAAGGACTGTCTTTCTCAACCTCTTCCCTCGCCTGAGGTATGGTGACCCTCAGGTTAAACCACCACCAGTCATCTCTCTCCAAAGAGAAAGCAGCCCCATGGCAGCTTTCGTTTAGCTAACAACCAAGTAGGGGCTCCATTTTAAACTTCACATTGCTTTATTTCAAATTCCGTCCTAACTGTCTGTGTAAACTCGCTCTATCTCAGGAACCTTCATGATATCTGTCATCCTCCGATTCTGAAACACTGTATGCTGCTGATTTGAATTGTTCCAGTGGTGACTGGGTTTCTCCCTGCCTGGTCCCTACACTGTCAAATTCAAATGGCACAGGAGCAGAGGAATCTGGAGGTGTGTGCGAGTGAATCAATAAAGGTAGTGGGCCAGTTGAAAAAGTGATTAA